GCGTCGACTCCGCCGCCATCCGCCCCGTCGCCGCTCCGGCCGCGCGCCTGCGCCGTCCTGCCTCCTCCCTGAGCTTGCGACGTCGTCCCCGGCGGCCCCCGCGCGTTGCACGCCCCAGTCGCCGCACCCCGCTTTGCCTCGCCTCGCCTCGCTCCTTTGCGGCGTTGGCTCCGCCGCCATCCGCCCCGTCGCCGCTCCGGCTGCGCGCCTGCGCCGCCCTGCTGCCTTCCCGAGCTTGCGCCGTCGTCGCCATTCGTGCCCCACGCCGCTCCTCGCTGCTCTGCACTGGCCGCGCCCGCTTCTCTGCGCCTGGTCGCACCCGGCCTCTCCCGCTCGACGCGCTATCTCCGCCCGTCCCGGCGCCGGCCCGGCCACCTTCGGGGTCTGAGCGCACCAGCTGCCGCCGCTATGGCCAGCTGCTACTGCAGTAGGCGGGGCCGCCCCTTTTTTCCTTCTATTTCTTTGAGTTGTTTAAGAAAACTGGCGCGTGGGACCCACCTGCAGGTCAAATACCACCTTTGATCATGTACATGTCACCATCCCGTCTGGGTAAACCACTTAGGGTGTCTTTTTGTCTGGTATGAGATTGTTTAGGGGGTAAAGGAACCAAAAAATAGATTAGGGGGTAATGTAAACCACCAACTTTGTTCAGGGTAGTAAAACGGACTTTTTTCTATTTTCATTGATAAAGGTCTATTGAACAAATACAATCTGTTTTTTAGTCGCACACTGTAGAACAATTGTTCTACGGTAATTTTTATTAATATAAACAGTATGTTACAAGGTGAGAGGAAAAAAATGAAGAAAAGGCTAATAAAAAACCTAGAAGAGTAAAATAGGGACTAACCCTCTCCACTTCTTGGAAAGATCGTCATCAAAGTATTAAAAAACTTGTGTTATCCAATGCTTGAACTCTGTAGAGAACTTGCTCTTCGCCTTTATCTGAAGGGAAACGTTTATAAACGGCGCGCCGGCGCAACTTTCGGCCGGCCGCGCTCGGTTATACGCATAGCACGCGTACCATTCTGGTTCTGTGCCACGCTGGCCTCGTACACC